TCAAGACTGGAGATTTTCAACCATGATGGTGACAGGGGTCTAAAAATTCATGTGTCGTGTCAGGAGGAAAGAGGGAGCAGTGGGAGATGCAGCAGCGGTGCTGGAAGCGGAGCCCCCTTCTAGTGTCCGTCTAGGAGAGGGCAGATGGGTGTGCAGAGAGGTCGGGGTTTTGTCTGGGATTTGATGCAGTGTGAGCATTAAAATGTAATTTATAATTCTGGGCAACAAGCTCTTTTGAAAGATGGAACCGAGGTCTAGCATGTGAGGAATAAGAGTTTCTACTGTACTCAAAATGATACAAAATGAAGTAAGAAGGAGATTTTTTTAATAGAAATATTAAAAGGGACCAAACCATGCATTTCTACTGTATTTTAGTAAAGAAGACAAACCCCAAATCCAAAACTATTGAACTAGTAGCAGCCATAAATATTTATCACTTGTGTATTCATATGTACATATAGTAATTACGGCAAGAGGAAAAAATATTTTTCTTTACAATTAATATTTGTAAACGTTTATGAAAGTATAACAAATAAATAAGACAAACACACGGCCTAATTAAGATGAAAGGGATGACAGCCCTTGTGATTTGTTCTGGGAAATAAAGGATGTTAAAATAGTAAGACTTAATTATTTCTGTAAACATTTCAAATTATGTTCCATGTAAAAAAACTTAATTTATAAGATATATATTAAAATATCTATATGTGCTTTTGACATTTATACATTCCATCTCAAAAAGAAATTAGAGTTAATTTATTATTTATTATGCTACTCATTGTCATATATTATCATTTATTAGTAGTTATTTTGGTTCAGAAATTTAGAGTCCTCTGTTTATTGGGAAATGGAAAATCATTTTTATATGATTGCAGTTTGACTATTCTCAGCATAGCAATGAAAAAAGAAACTTCTATAAGCTGAGCAGGTAAAAATACACTCAGTAATAGAGAGGACTGATTTGTGTAACTTTTCATGGTTGGTGGTGCTAATTCACATACAATTAATGTCATATTTGAATAGAGAACATGAAGCCCCATCGCTGGAGTTGTCCAAATTGCTGGGTAGAAACGGAGGAGATTCCCTGCGGGTGGGAAGGATGGAGAAAGCAAAGACGTCGGGTTTGTTTTGAGGAGCTTGAAGGGATCCCAAGATCCCAAAGAATCCCAAGAAGGGATCTTTAAGCTCTGGAATTTTCTTTCGGATGAGCATGGATCTGCTCGGGGTCCTTTCCCTGCTCTCTGGGTTGAAGCAGACACCACCGCAGGGCACACAGGGATTTGTGAAGGAAAAATCCTTCAGCACCTTGATTTTCATGCTTTGGTTGCCATAGATGTAGACCTGTATCTGCCTGCTATTTTATCATCTGATTTTTTTTTTTAAAAAAGGAGAAAAGTAGATTCTTTTCCGTTTTGCTGCTTTTTCTTTGGAATGCAGTAATGTGGAAGCCGTAGCAAGGTCGGGCGACGCCGCGCGCGCGTCGCGGCCCCGCTCCGCAGACGTGACGAGCCGCGTTCCCGCGAATATTAGTATGAATTAAGCAGCTGCTTAACTTAATACACATAAGTAGTTCCGCAGAAGTCAGGAGGACTTCTAAGAGATTCAAATTAAGCACAAGCTTAGTGGGACGGCAACTTGGCCGCTCTCCAAGGCGATGGGGCTACTGCGTGTGCGAGGGCTCAGGCTCGTGGAGGAAGGTCATTTGTAACCCACAAAAATACTTGGGGATATCTGGGGAGAAAAGCTAGGGCAGTCCCTGTAAAAACGTGACCTTCAACACAGGGTTTCTTTTCATAATGTGCACCATCTATTTATTGAAGGGTACTTCATATATTATGTGTCGTACTGCTGATGGGTCCAGATAAGGATACTGTGTAATAGCAGTTTAAATGTGTTTTTTTGTGAGATGGTAAGCTAATGATGTAGCTGTTAATTTGAATTTAGCAGACGTTTTAAATATAGGTTTCTCTTACAGAGACAAAAGTTGCAATTTAAAGCTCTTTGGTGGTCTAAAAACAGCTTAATTCTCTAGTAGCATGGTAATAAGTACTAATCCAGCTTATACAGTGATTGTAGTATGTCATGTTTGTGAAAGATTGCCTAACTCTGCTTTCTCTGGGTTTTATGTTAATTTTTTTAAATTAAACATAAAACCTTATAACATCTTTATGCTGAGATAAACTGTTCAATTTAACTTGTGCTCAAGCAGCAGCTGTCAGGAATTATCATGTTGCGAGCGCTCTTGCTATCACCTTGTGTCTCTACCTCCCGGATACACGCGCTGGGATGATAAAGCTCACCTTGTTAGGATTTATTACTTAAATAATAACCCGAGGTAAAATGAGACTTGATGTCACGTCGAATGACAACTGACATATATTTATGTCGCGCGTTACATTATAACAAACTTCCCTTTCTTCTCCGTGTAATAGGTGTTAAGTGGCGATAGGCTCCGGCATATCCTCCAGTGCCCGGCGTGAGTCCATTAGCCACGAACACGGCTTCTCCGTGGGCATGTTCGCAGTGACTTGTCCTGTCAGGTGTTATTGCAGCTCACGAGGCCAAAGGAACCAGTTTTTTTGCAGAGAGTTAACAGCTTTTGTGCCAGTCAAGGAGCAGAAATACGTTAAGTGCATCTCGTATTTGTGGCATTCAACTACAGAAGTCGTGCAAGAGGATCGGGAAGGGCGTTTCGTAATGCTGTGACCAATTTAACTTTATATTTTGCAGCGAGAAACATAAGCAATGTTATTGGAGGTTCTCAATCTGAATTTGCGAGCGATTATAGCCATTTTCTCTTGCTAGCTGGGCAGCGATAAGTGATCCGCTTGTCTTATCCCTTCCCGTATCTACCCCTTCACGGCTCTCCTGCTTCGTGTCCTTGCTTGCCTTATTGGATGGCAACCTCTAGCCCTCTAACGACGAGGGAATATTCCCCCCACCAACACTGCAAGGATTATTTTCCCATCCTGCGGATATAACCGCCTTTCCCGTGGTTTCTGCTCGTTCTCCCTGTGCCCGTCCTGGCGAGCCCGGCGGTTTCGGATGGTTTTGTCCGAGGCTGAATCCCGGCTCTCCCTTCTCCCCACGCTGCCCATTGCCCACAGTGTCGGCCTTGGCACCCCCGCTGGCTTCTCTTTCCACCCTCGCTCCCGCGTCTCGCGCCCTGCTGCCTCCCCACGTTTTCAATCCCAATGTGCCATGTATATAGATATGTTTTTATCCCCTTTCCTCATTCAAATGCAACCAAGTTTAGAGACGCTATTCCACATCATTCCAGTTTCCTACATAGCTCACCGTAGAAGAAGAAAAGTTGACTAAAAATAAGCATGATAGAGGGGAGAAAAAAGAAAGCACAAACTGTGACACAATCCAGAAGCATCCTGAATTTTGCCAAGTATCCGTTTAATCTTTATACTGTAACATTTGATGTTCTTTTCCTCCCATTTGTGTTTTTCTCTTCCCCGTTCTTCCCTTGTTTCCGAACTCCTCTGAGCAGGAGGGACCTTCCCTGCCTGGGGCCTCCGGGTCGTTCGGGGGCCCGGGGGTTATTACTCCATGTGATAAATGCAGGATGGTATTTGTAAATACATTTCCTGGTCTCTTTATGGCTCATAATGAAGCGGTGCTCAGGTCTTAATTGGCTTTCTATCTGACGGTGCCTGCAGAAGAGCAAATATTTGATGAACAAGGGAAAAACATTCCTATCCGGCTTTTCTAAGCCTTTCAGAGCAGCAGCATCGACTCACGTTGGTGAAGATGGATATAGGATCTGTTCTCTAGGAAGTGCTCGTTCCAGAGGTACGGATTACCCAGAGATGTGGTCATAACCATAAATACGGTTATTCCAGTCACCATTACTTGTTGCAACTAATCATTTATATGGTTATGTGGGGCAATCGGCAAGTTTTAAGGTTGACAACTAGAATCAGTTTCTAAGATCAGTGATGTCAGTTTAGTGGTATTCTTGAGCACTAAATCCATATTAAAACAGGAAAAGCCGGAAAGATTTTAAGAGAAATAAACCTTTCATGAATCAAATTCTATACTATTAAAATGGTGGGCAGCGAAAAATGGAAATAAAAAAATAAAGCTAGCAACATGCTCCATGCCGAAAAGTAATTTATTAAAGCTTAATGTTTTATGTGCAATAAATACTTGTTTTCAATATTTTTATCCCTCATACTGAGACATTCCTAACATGAATTGTCTACAGCTCCATGACTCTGTGTAGTTGGAGGATGGAAGTGGTGCTAGCTGGAGGACAGCGGAGCGTGGCACCGTTTGGGGGAAATGCTGGGATATTTGCTGCTGCTTTCAGTAGGGTCCAGGTTTCACACCACACATTCAACTACATTCGTTGCCTGATACTAAGTTGTACAAGGTTAGGATCTGGGGTCGTTAGTGTTGCTTGTGCCCGGTTAGTCTAATTGAGGGATGCGCGTGATGCCGTGGGATGGCAATACTGGGGTACAAGGATGCAAAAACCCTTTTGTTATAGAGGATACCTGATAAAAATGAGAAAATAAAACAGAAAAAGGAGCAGCGGTGAAGGGGGGGCACAACCATACTAGATAAGTGTACTGCATAAATCAAAAAGGTTTATGTCATAACACGAACATGTGCCATTCGTGCTCATATATTGAATTTCAGTAGTTGGTTGCATAAAGAAGTAAAGTGTAATGAAACTGGCAAGCGAAGTATTCCCTAGTCAGCCTTATCTTTGTTCCATTTGTCCTTCAGATACAGCTTTTCTTGCCTTTTTCAATAAAATCCATCCAGCTTTTTTATTTTGCATCTCTCTGTAACTGAGCGGCGCAGACCAATGAGACTCGCGGCTTTTCTAGTCGAGTTCTTAGCAGCTGCGTTTTAAGAGATCAAAACTTCGAGCGCTGCTACATGGTATTAAGGCTCAGCCATTGATGTGTCCCCATAGGGGTGATGTTTTTCTTGGGGGGAGCGCGGGGAGGCCGCTGAACGCTGCTCTCCTTCTTTCCTAGGCTCCTCTTCGCCAGCTCCGTGCTCAACCTGGCCGAACTCGTGGCCCTGCGGCCCGACCTGGGCAAGCTGAGGAAGATCCTCTACTTCCACGAGAACCAGCTGGTGTATCCCGTGCGGAAATGCCAGGAGAGGGATTTTCAGTATGGATACAACCAGATCCTGTCCTGGTAGGTGCTCCTGCTGGGATTTAAGGCGTTGGTGCAAACTTCCAGCATCCGACACCTTCAGCAGAGGCCGCGCGGCCCAGGCCCCGTCCCAAGCTCCAAGTGCTTTGGCATGAGCAGGCAGAGGGAATCCACGCTCACAATAAACCAGGATGAGTGCCCAAAGTCTGCACACCACGTTCACGCTTCCATAGGGTACCTGCTGGCCCTACAAATCCTGACCCATGTCTTAACAAGGCACTCAGGCTGCCTCCCCACTGCCAAGCTGCAGCTCGGGGCTTTCACAGCAGCCGGCTGAAATTATATAGAGGGTTTTTTTTAGGGAAATAAACAGAAATTAAAATGTACTGCAGCACTTTTCTCGAGAAGAGAGGGCAGTAAACATACCAGATAAATCCTTATATTTCTTTCATCTAGTATTCAGAGATTGTGCAGTGCTAAAATACCCAGACGTTTTAAAGGCTGTGTCCTTTATTGTTACTAAAAACAAACGCATTTCTTGAATCTAAGTTAATGAAAGAAGTTAATAACAGCAATGCAGAGAAGCTTTGTGGTTAGATGCTGTAGAAACCCAAGTGAAACGGCAAAACTGAGTTGTTTTGAATTGAAATAAATTCGTTTGTGTGATCTTTCTCACCTATTTGTTATTAGGTGAATTATTAGGAATATGGATTGAGTCTTTTAAAGTGCATGTGAAGCTTTTGCATCTTTAAAATATAAGCCACTTGATATTCAATTTTCTCAAATAATGATTTTTGTATACTCTGAACACTCTGTAGCTGCTCTTGCCACTGCATTTGCAAGATGTTTCAGTCACTAAGTAGCAACGATGTGAAAATATAATGAAAAATCTTTTGAGAATGGTAGCAGCCATGTTCAGATTTACTGACAAAAAACGGGCTCCTTGGTACTAGGGCGAGGAATATTTTTGTATATCTATTTTGCTTTCTCATGGCAGTTATATTTTGGAACAGAAATTCCTCTCTTGTGAGCTGTCATTAATCCTCAACACGTGCATTTTTAAATGAAAAATTATTTCCTTTTGCCTCAAAGAAGGAGACGATTATAGATGCTTGGTTCTGCCTCCTGCAGCCTCCAATAACATCTCCGTGCAATTATTTAATATGAATCTTTCCTTTCTGTTGCTGCAGAAATCAAATTTTTGATAGCAAGTAGAAGACATCTCCCATATTGCTCCCAACTGCCTAGTGGACATTTGCAAAGACACTGAAACAAGATGCCTGCCTTTTTTTTTTTCTTTAGAGTTTATAAAGATTATCTGAACCTTTCACTATTTCAGTGTTTCCTTGTGAGTCTTTCTGCCTTCTAAATCTGTTATTAGAAAAACTAGAGGTAGGAAAACATGTTGTTCCACTTTTGCTTAGAGATTTTGGAGACCATTCGAAGTGGAGCATTTTGAATCTTCAGGTGGGTCTTTGGGATCATTAAGAAGGACAAAATTTCTTTTTCACGGCTCTAAAGGGTTTAGGTCATGCTGGGAATAAACTCACACTTGTAGCACTGCCAGAAATGCCTTTCCTCCTAGGCAGGTGCGATGACAGGATCTTCCCAGTCGGCCAGAGAAATGCCGAGCCTGCGGGAAAAGGGAGAGCTGGAGACGTGAGGCTTAATGTACAAGACAAGCAGAGATGAAAATGTTGGGAGCCTTTGCTAAATGTCAGAGAGCAGCACAAGAGCAGCGCGGCGCCCGCGCCGGGTTTTGTGTCGCGGGTCACTCAGTTCGGGAAAGGCGACCGGAGCGCCGCGGGGACCGCGGGAAGCGCGGGGTTAAAAACCATACGTGGGGAGAGATTTCAGAAAACGTTTTGGCTCCTCTCACCTAGTTGAAAGGGATTCTTTCTCTCTCTGCTGCTTTCTTGCCTCTCCTGCTGCTTCGGGAGCAGTGTGGGCTTTCCTTGTGCACCAGGCAGCGAGGAGATGCAGGGAGGATGAATGACAGCCTCTCACCTCAAATATACTTCTCAGCAGCCCAGTGACTTATGAACACATGTCCTCAATGCGTCTTATGACCCGTAGGTCTGTATTACAATATATAACATATTGAGAAAACCAACTAGCCATAAAACATTTCTTACCTCGGTTAGAGCCTTGCGTGTTTGCAGTACAGTTAGGGTTGTGTCAGCACTTCGTGGGTAAACTCGCGGAGATTTGGGGCTTTTGATAGCTTTTCATTCCTCCAGACTGAGAATCTCGGTGGAAAAATAACACCTAAGTAATCATTTAAGTGCATCTTAGAATTATTGATCTTGTTCATTTGAAAAAATAGTGCTAAGGAACAAAACATCATGTTAATATACCAAATTATTTTTCAAGTTTTTTGATGCTGTGTGCTATGTGTTGTATATTTATGTTTAGTAAATGTGCTCTTAGTGGAGTTTATGTGTGCGTAGGATAAAAAAATAAGTAATAATGTGCCATTTTGCTATTATTCTCTAATACCTAATGCACACAGTCAGTCTTTTTTGTTGTTGTTGTTCTTTTTTCCTGGCAGTAAATCTCATTAAGCTTAACCACTTTTTACAGTTTGGTTGCCGATGTCGTTGTGTTCAACTCTGCTTTTAATATGGAATCATTTCTTACATCTATTGGAAAATTTATGAAGCTGATTCCTGACCACAGACCTAAGGATTTGGAAAAAATAATCAGACCCAAGTGCCAAGTTCTTTATTTTCCAGTCCAATTTCCTGATGTGAGCAGGTCAGTACATTTTCCATCGCATAAGTCGTCTCCAGTCTGTCAAAACTACCTGTTTATTGTGAAGTTTTAACCATTCAGTTAAAGCTTTCTTAGTTAAAGGCCTTGAGAACATGCAAAAATCAAGTGATTGATCAATTGGTTTCTGTAATCACAGGCACCCAGAGATGCTGATCCACCAGCGCTGGCATGAGCAGTGCCCAAGCATGTCCTTGGGCAGTTCATGTCATACAAAATTATATAGTTCAGCGAGAACCATTTCCCAGCTTGTTGTAGTTTTTAAAATGTTGACTATTCCTCGTCCCTGTGTATTTGCTTCTGCAGAAGAGGTCAAGGAGGAGAAAGAAATTCTAGAGAATAGTAAAAGTGATAAGTCTGTAGTCAAGACGCTATATTTCCCTTGGTATATTGTAGTGGGATTTTATTCCCTCCTTCCTGCACTACCTCTTATTTTATTGCCTTCCAGGTAGGTGAAAAGCATTGCAGTAGCATCGAGCAGACTTGCATATTTTGGCATTAGCCGCAGTCCTAGATGCTCTTCAGTCTTCCTCAGTTACTCTGAAGGACGTTTTTTATTGCCCTTGTTTCAGAGCCCATCTTGAAATTAGCAGTGGGTTATGTGGCTCAAAGGGAACATTCGCTCGATCCTTTTCACTTTTGATTAAACCTGGCACGATTGTTTCTCCTATTACAAGGAACTCTCCTCCCACTGAACAGGAACTTTGCTTCAGTGGGACCGGTACTAAATAGAGATAGTATGATTCTGCAATTTGATTATACTCTTAAAAACAACATGATGCCTGGTGCATTTTTAGCTGAAATAAGGACAGAAAGCAGTGTACTGACTCTGCAGGAGCCTGGCTTTTGATACAGCAGTGAGTTTGGGCCCCTGACCAACCTCTGCTTGCAGGTTTTTTCGAGGACAAAATGCACATTTGCAGGAGTTATGGGCAGTGGGTTTTCTAGTTAAGGTCAGGCACTGTGTCAGTGTTTGCATTGCAAGGTTTGTGTTGAAGGAACGCAGAAAGCATGATGTTCCAAAGCACAGTTGCAAATCAATTAAAAGTCAATGTCTAAAATTAAGCCTTGTGTTCTGGCAAAGGGGTTAAAATCCTCCGGTGGTGCTTAGGTGCTCCTCGGGTCATTGTAAAATGCTCTCCTTAATGTCCCACCTCTGTGCTGTACCTTGCCTTACCAAGCACGACACCTTGCACGTTTCCCTTGTAGCTGTTGTGCTTGAAAATATTATCTAAATATATATATATGATCCGTTTTCCATGGGAGATGGGCAAAACTAAGATGTTGTGAAGCAGAGCTGTGTGACCGCACAACTTTGTCAGCACAGGAATTAGAAACACACACTAATATCAGCACTGTTATTTCTAGTATGAACCTTATTCAAATGTGAGCTCTGGATATTAAATTGTGGTTTTTAGACAAAAAGCAGTGTCATAACAGAAGAAAGGGAAGCATGGGAAGGGATTGCTTTTGCATAACTCCGAGTTCTTTGGGTTTTGACCTTCAGCTGCATCCAGTATTCACTGTTTCTGTACCAGATCGTGTTTTAAATAATGTTGAATGCACCTGTGGCAATGGAATGCTGTTTATTAATTTAGACTGTATTACTGTAGCGACTGAATGGAGGTTGAGGAGAAAAAGGTTAAGAAAAATTGTGGCCAAGCTAAAATTTATAAAGCAAGCTCTTAGCCCAGAGTGTTTTTCAAGTTATTTTCAAATGGTAATTTGCTTTATCCAAACCAAACTCATACAGTGTAAGTAAGTGATTATTTGCATGACTGACAATCATTTCAATGCCTGCAGTCTTTTTAAAATGCATAATTTTGCTGAGATGTTGGGAAAATATTTAAAAATTCTGAAGGCAAAATAACCAGGGTGATTTTTTTTCTTTGACCTCTTTTATTTCGTGTATGAATGTCTAAGGGTATGTTTGTGTCTTAAATGTAATTTTTATTTTGACTTAGAAGGGAAGTGATCTGACCAAAAAAGCATCCTCGCTGATACGATGGTGATAGTTTTAAATTATTTTCCATTAATATTGTCATTATAGGGCAAAGTAAAAATAAATACAGCTAACCCTTGATCAAAACAGTGTAATATAAGAGCTTGTCACATGAGTAAATGCTGTAATGTGTTTACCTTTTAATGTAATTACCGCAGATGATTAGTATAGAAAATAGCACAATCAGCACAGTAAATGATCACATAAGAGTGTAGGTATAATGATGCACTGAGAGCGTTTTAGTGCCGTGAAGAACTTGGCCTCAGAACTGCTTTTGAATACTCTTAGATGTACCATTATACGTGTGCATAATATGCATTTAGATACTTCAGATGTCCATCTAATCGTTGCTTTTTTACCTCACGGAGGGCTTTATTGATGCTTTTATATGAAATACTTCTTTTTATTAACAATTTCTCCAAGGGCACGCAGTGGCGTTCCCGCAGCACACAGCCAGCCCAAGGTCCTTATCCAGAAACGAGAGGAGATGGAAGGATTTGGGTTGAAACACGACGTTTTTGCCCTCATGGTCTGGGGCCGTGGCCGGTGCGTTCGACGGAGCCGGCGCTGCTCTGTCACAAACACTGTCATTTCCCACCTCAAATTCTCCACTTTGTACATTCCGATGAAGTGTATTACGTAGAAATAAATATATATCACAATAGGCTTACAAATGGATGGAATGCCAAGTTAAGGCTGTCGCTTCATAGTGCATAGGTGCTGCAAGGGCTGTAGAACAGTAGGTGATTTTACATGCCATATGTGCTACCATCCTTAACAACACCCTGCATTAAACATCCTAGTTCAGGCTTGCCTTACATTGTCATTTGTTATATTTCACATTCCTTGGTGTTGTAATGCTAATGAAATGCTGCATGTTTTTTTTTTTCCTATCAATGTCATATATTTTTATCTTTTACAGTCAAACACTAGGGCCCAAGAACAAAATCCCCTTTCTGCTACTGCTGCCTTTGGTACTCGCGTCTCCAAATGCCAGTGAGCATCACTGGAAGAGCAACACCCCTAGCAGTTCTTGCTGGTATTTTGTACTAATTCCCTCAGTCCGTCTGGGATTTTGACAACAGGCAAAGCTGGGTCAGGCTGTATATATATCCCCCTTGGAATTGGGTGCAATGAAAACTCTAATACAGATTTTGGTTATTATTACTGTTCCTCTCATTGTGGTATATCTTTGCCATTATCATGAAGTGGTAGAAAAGGAAAGCATTCTTATAAGCAAGAATGAAGTGAGGCTCCTAAGAGCTTACAATGCACATTGGGGTAAGGTGGAATAATATAAAAGACAGCACAAGAGGCCTAAGATTACAGTAGAAGATAACAAGCCCTTCTTTTTAAGTGAGACTTGTTGGTTGATGCCTTGTGCTATTCACACTGCACATTTTGAAGTGGAATTAAAGATTTTAGAATGCTGTTTCTTAATTTGCTTTCGTAACACAGTACAGCTAACGGGGCGTTTTACATTATTTAGTTATGGTGTAAGAGAGGCAGAATTTTCCAGTTTAGAGAATACTTTATGGCCAGTCAAGGGAGTTCCTGACTAAAGCACAAGTTTTTAAGAGGCTCTGACAGTATCTCTTGTACAGAAACCAACTGTCAGGAAATGCCTGGTTTGGGTAATAATAATAAAAGAAAAGAGGTCACTTTCATCATTCGGATCAGACTTGCAGTGCTGAACTTCAAACCTCTTTACAGATCACGAAGAAGTTCCCCCTTCTTCCGTTGCAATAGCAGCTTGCAATAGCTTTGCCGTGCTGGAAAACACAGATGCCAACGGTGGGGACAACACCTAGGGAAAGTGCAATATTGGCGTAAAACTTGCATTAAACGGAGTCTTTCAGTTGTGCGCCTTGGGTCGAAGGTTGGTACCTCTTCTAGCTCAGGGCAGAAAACGGCAAATAGAGCAAAGGATGGGGTGTTCAACAGGGGGGCTGGGGTCACCCCTGCTTGCTCTACCCTTCCTTGCACGTGCGCTGCTGTGGTCTGGGGGGTTTCCTCTGCTCCGGGCGGTTTTCCAGAGGTGGGATAGGCCGGGATCACCCTCCGCTTCATCCCAGCGGTGCCCTCCCGGAGGAGGACCTGGCTCAGCAGCCTGCGGGATGGATTTGTTTAGCAAAACGTCCGAAAACTAATTTCTTTTTATCTATTCAGAGACAAAGAATAGTTTTCCTGAGTCTCTTTTATCTGTGGTAGAGGTATTGAACTAAACGCTGTCATAATAACCATTTAGTCCCACAATAGCTCACAAGGATACTTAAGCAGAATTCTCTGTGCAACCTAGTTTTTTATTATGTTGGGTACTGCTCATGTTGCATACAACACATTCCCATAAAACTTGCATTTTGTATTTACAGAGAAATTTCTCTGGAGAGTTCAGGTCTTGTAAAACATTCTTGTTCTACAGCATGAACGAATTATTATACTCTGGGGCATTAAAAGTGAAGTGTACTGAAGAAAAGAATTTTTTCATTAAAATGCAGTTTATATTGATAAAACAGATTACTAGCATTTGATGAAATGTGAAACTTGGATCTACCCATATCGCTAAATCGCCAGTAGGTTTATTTTGGCAAGAAGAATAGTATGTAATGTATATCAGGACCAATCACTGTACAGTACCTGTTAGTTTTGTATTAGATTAAATTGTCTTTCACTGAAGTACTTGAAAAAAAACTACTCTATCTGTATCTTGAAGTAGCAGAATGTGGTAACCAAGAATATTAGAAAATAAAAGCTGTCGTGTTATCAGTTTTGGCACAGTCATTTATCAATCAGTATTTTAAACATTGACAAGTGGTAATTTAATAGGGAATGACCCTGTTGGCAGGAAGTTCTAATGACAGATGATGCAAACTCATTTATCACTGTGGGGCTGTGCTGGCTTCTTACCTTTCTCAGTATCACAGCTCATATTTTCCAAGTCTGGGATGTGAGAAGCCACAGAGGGCAGAACCTGTGGCGCGGA